AAGTACGCAGCATTCTCACTCTGTCTCGCCTACAAATGGCCAATCAAGGATGCTCGGACAATCTCCTTTCCAGATACCCCCGATGGGAATGCAACCGCCTCCGGGATTGGTCCACCACCCACCCCCGCCAGGTTTTGCAAACCGCATGCCTCACGAAGCTATCTTTTCAGGTTTCAGACATAGTCCTGGAGCAATGATGCCCCCTCCTGGCATCAACGGACCACCTGGCCGCGGATTTTCTGTTCCTCTGCCCCCAGGCTTCACGCAGCCCATTGGCGATCAGTTTGATATGGGTGGGTTCCCATTGCCCACAGATCTCCCCCCACCAACGCATCATCGCCAAAGTTCATTGCAGTTCGACACGCCTCCGACTCCATCACAGCCTATTGGACGACCTGCTCCCATTGGGCGACCCGGAAGCCTTAGCCAAAGTCGCGCATCTGACGACCAGGACGACGAGACTGCCCATCTAGGCAGTCGAGCTCTTTTAGAGGATGATGAACCTCTCGCAGCTGAAGTCAACCCGAGTAGTCTACGAAACCAGCCTCCGGGGCCACGCGGTGATTTCACCACAAGTCCTTTCTTGCCTTCAGCATTTCCCCTGGCGCATAATCCCTGGGGTCCTCCTGCTGTTGGAGGACATCCTTTGCCTCCTCCAGGATTCAACAACCCCGGATGGGGCGCACCAAGCGTGCCTCCAGGGTTCGGTATGACATCTCCAATTGCTGGAATGAGCTCTATCCGAGCGCCAGCGCAGCCTAGGTATGTGACCGTACGCGCGATGCTCTGCCAGGCTTGCAAGGAATTGGCTAGCTCTGGAGACTCGGAAGGTTACATCGACATCGGAACCCTCAAGTCGAGGATTGATGCGATGTCAGGTGATCACAGCATCTCAGAACTCGACTTGTTGAACCTTTGTGAGACGGAGGGAAGTCCGTCCAACGGAGGTGGCACGTTTGATATCCGACGTGATGCAGCAGGCCCAGGCAAGCATACCGTTCGATGGGAGCCTGATCTGAATGATGGATTTGGTGCACCGTATAGAGCAGTTGGTGCCCCAGGTGAGATCGGAAGTCCTTTGGTAGGACAAGCAACTCTTCGTGGGGGATTGTAGGACAACCCTCGGCGGGGTCGGGCAAGTCAACAGACTAGCGATGACTCCTTGTCCGTTAGAGATTTGGTGCGTGACAGCAGCCCACTGTGGGCAATTGGGAGTGACAGAGGGAGTACACCCTCTATGCACACAAGAGGCTCGTCGATCGTATCACACATCGACCGCCCAGACCTACAAGTAAAAGGTCCAGTGGCTAAATAGTTTACCTGAACTGGAACGCGAACAACTCGTGTGTGCACCTCTCATACGTGAAGCAGAGTTGAGCCACTCAACAAAGCCTTAAAACCTCGCCGTCTATTAAAGAAGCATGTCACTCACAATTCTGAGGGATTGTTGAAAGATCGGTCTTACATGGATACCTAGGTGTGATGTGCCGCCAGATGATACAGCACGAAAGGGAAGGATCGGGAGACATGAGGAGCGTGAAATGACTGCTGATCTCAAATCAAAGAATCTTGTTCGAGTACCAGATAATAACCATTAGCCTCGGAGCGGGCTGTTGTAATGTATGCATTTGAAGTCGTGATTGTGAGACGTGTTAAATGGACTATCGCGACTATCGTATGTGGCAACATTCAAGATGGAACTGTTGTAGGTATAATCGCTGCAGTTTGCAACACCACTAACTGAACGGCTGGATCTTGACTTTAACCACGAATTGTTGCTTGCCGCGTGGGACCGTTTTCGCAAAAGCCACGAGGCAACATCCGAAGACGCGGAGAGCAGGAGTACACGTAATACTTTAATTCAACGTCTAACCGTCCCCGTTCATAAGGTAGATAAATAGATACATTCGCATACCAAAGTAGCAGACTTTATCCTTTCCCATTGCTCCGAAATACTCAAACATGTCATGTAAGGTTTGTTCCCCCCGGTGTGATATCAAGGTATCAAAAAAAGATGTCATCCATGGCTCTGAGGATTTTCCAAGCCTTGGGTGTTTTTTCCTGCGCTGGTAATCACGCAGGCATTATAAAAGAATAGAGCAAGCGCTCGAAACAAGGCAGCTGTTTGTCGTACACAGAAGAGCTCAATATAGATATGGACCCTCCTCGGATACTCGCTGCAACTGTTTTGTTCCCATTGCTCTCCCCCGACGGGACCGGTCCGCCTAAATTCGGTCCTGGAAGGGGTTGCCAGCAGGGGCACCAGGGGCGGACTGGCCTGAAGCGTTGCGGATGAGAGGCTGACGCTGAGCAGCGCGCTGCTTCTTTGTGGCGGCACGGGCGAGAGCAACAGCCTCGGACTTGGCGACAAGACGCTTCTGCTCCTTGCGGTCACGGCAGCACATGAAAGTGAGGTAGCCGAGCATACCAGCGGCAGAGGCGGCAAAGACAATGGCGATAATGATACCGGCAGTGTCCATTTCCCTCTTAACCATGCAAATGTCCTCAGCGGAAGAGTCGGTGGTGCAGATAACATCGCTGCGGCATGTGCTGGTGCTAATCTCGGTGCTGTAGCAGGTAGCAGTCTGGGTCTTATCCGAAACGGTCTCGAGATCGCACTGCTCAGTCGACTTTTTGAAAGTTGTGAAGCATTTTGTTCCCCTTGAAGTGTCAGTAGCACGCTTCTTGAGTTCACCACCGGTACGCTCGGGGCCCTTGGTGATGGTGCCGGCGGCCTCAGCGTCGGGAATCAGAGTCGGCATGATAGCAGCTTCGTAGCGCTTCTTTAGCTCGCCGGCCTTTGCGAGCTCTGAGCATCGCTCGAGGGTGTAGTGAGCCTCGCGGGCGGCATCCTCGTCGGCACAGCCAGCGGAGGTGTAGCAGGTCTTGAGGGCGGCCTCATCGGTCTCCTTGAGGTTGGAGAGGCAGAGAGAGAGGGCACCCTTGTTGGCACAGTCGGCAAAGGCAGCGAGGTCCTCGTTGTGGTTGGCGAGACACTCTTGCTGGACGGCAGCGAAGGCGTTGCCAGCGAAAAGAATGGCGGTTGAGAATCGCATGTTGGGCGGGTTAACGATGTTTTTTTTTGTGGGAAAAGGTTGCGGTCGAGAGAATGCCCAGCAAAGCTCTTTAAGTGTGTTGTCGGTAAGGAATAGTCTGGGGTGCTTGAAAGCCAAGACACGCACGCTCAATCCTAAAAAGGGGAGGTTGTTTCTGATGATGATGGGGAATAATAGGTAAGAGAAAGAAACAAGGAGGAGAAGTTGGAGGAAAAGCGAAACGAAGCAAAGCAAATGGGAAGGGATTATCCGTCCGTTCTATTGGGCTGAACCTTGGAAGGGAAAAAAAGCAGACGAGACAGGACTCGCAAGTGAGAGGCAGGAGCAGGAGCCAGGAGCCAGGGGAGGTGAGGCGGCTGGGCTTTGCTTTGCTTGCTTACTGGGCTGAGCTGGGCTGCCAGAGCGTTACATACAGTACGGCACTGCACTGTTGTTATGATTATGGTGGAGATGCTACAGCGTGCTTGTGCTAAAAAAAGGAGAGTGAGGAGACGGATTTCTATGAGCCACAATGGACTAAGCCTGAAAGGGGTTAGATGGTAAGAAGAGATTGAGGGTCCTGGGTGGGTAGGGTTGAATTGCCATTACATTGGGGAATGGAGATTGGCGTCTTTAGATGTTAGGGCTGTGTTGAGATCTGTTGAGTGAGAGATCGGTGTTCTTGACTACTAAGGTATCTACTCATGAACTTCTTGATATCGTAGTTGTAGACATGAGAAGATGCTATCCCTCCTTCAAACCAAGCCAAGCCCGTGATGGCTGGTGCTGACTGACCTGCCATGCTGATGGTAGGCATGAGTGGGAACCAACATCCGCCATAGCCAGAAACCCACTAGCATGAACAGAACTGGCTTTGATGCAAGACAAAGAGAGACAGGTCGACGGAAAGAGAATATGAGACATGTCTACAGGTCTTGAAGGCATTCACTTCTTTACAGCCATGATCTGTAGTCATTCAACTGATGCAACCCTGAAGACAACATGATTGCTGTTCATCAACTTGAGTGAACGGACTACCTTGGCTACCCTTGCTCATACAAACACAGTAAGCACAACGAAGCCTGTAAGCGCTGATGGAAGTGGCTGAAATGGCGGGCTTTCCAGCTCGTAAGGAGATGGCGGTGCAACGGCCAATCCAGAGCAAGGGTTTTACGGCTGGTGTGACGACGGTTGTGGGGTGAAGGAGAATGATAGACATTGTCAACAATTAGTTTCATTTCTCGATTGTTTCAGACTGTTTTTGGGCTTGTCAATTCGTAGTCGGGTCGTTTCCTGAGAGTAATAGATTCCATTCTGACAGTCAAGTCTGGATTATTAGAGGAAGAACTTCCGTTGTATTGGCGGTCAGAAATTTCATGCTTACACTGCCTCTGCTTACATTAATTGATGGATTGGGTTCCATGGGCTGGGTCCATACGGCTGCGCAAGCTGAGAAAAGCCCCTGTCGCGCTTTCCGACGCCTCCATCTCGACGTTAAAAGGCTTGTTCTGCCAAATCGTCAAACGCTGATATGGTACCCTCCGCTTTACTCTTCTGTTGCCATGCCATGATGATCTATCGGAACATGCCTAACAGCATAGTGTGTCACGATGTTCAGGGGCTGAAGATGCCCAGAAGTACGCCCGCACTTTAGTGGCCAGTGTCCTCTGTACCTGAGATTGACAGCAAGCGTAGGTCCATTGAACCATAAACCTCGTGCCAAGACATATCATCACTAAAGACCCTCAAAAGATGATCGTTAAAAAATGCCCGAGATCTGGATAAATAAAACTTAATAATCCTTCCCTCCTTTTTTGTACACGCACGTCATGCTTCATTTGTTAAGTAACAGAACGCGTAGCCAATCGAATGGAATTTAAGGAATGACCATGTGAGTCGACGTCATCAACTTTTGGCTTGCTTTTGACTGGTACGTGATACAGAGACAGGCTTTGTGTATAAAAGCAAGCAATCCAGGACCCTGTATCACCCTTCTTCTCTTTATTCTGCAAATACACTGAACCTCTTCCACTCAACTTCAAATCACCACGTAAAAGAACACAAAAACCGCCCATCATGCCTCTCGTCGTTCCCGGTATCAACTCAACTTCTGGCGACAAGGCCGAAGAGTGGCAGAACAAGCTCATCGGCAAGAAGCTTTCCGATGATGATGCTTCCACCGAGACGGTACGTTTAACTTGCAGCTTTATGTTCTTCCTACACAGCAGCATGATGCTAATGCGTCAATAGGTGTTTGCCAAGCGAGATCTTCCCCAGGAAACGCGCATCATCGAGCCCGGAATGATGGTTACAAAGGACTTTAAGGAAGACAGACTCAATGTCCACCTCAAGGATGACGGAACTGTCTCACATGTCGTCAAGGGTTAATGGGGCTGCTGGTGTCGAGACAGCCCCTCCATTCCTCGTTTGATGATGGGGCAATAATTAATGTACGATAACGATTACCTACGAATGGGAACAGGATCGCCCGTAATAATAAAGGCGCAAGAGAACAACGCGATTATAACTTTTAACTATCAAGATCCGATCGTGAATTATTATTGCATTGTGGTGTATGTAGAATGTCTTTGTCGAATAGAGCTTGTAGTGTACCTCTCTTATTGCATCTCGAAACTTACCCCGCCACGTCTGATCCATGCCGCGGGGCACTCTCGACTTGACTTTTCCCAAACCTCCAACAGCCCACCCCCACCAAGATCCAACTCTGCATAGCAAGACAACAGTTAAGCTACTCTGTCACTTATTTCTTCTATCTCAGACCCTCTCAACCAGCACAATTATATATTTCCTCTCGGCATAGCCGTCAAACCGCCACCATGTTTAAGAAAGAGTACATGCCCCGCCTCCAAACCTCTCAAGCTCGCAACTAACCTCTCGTCGCAGAATCCAGCCTTCGCCCAAGCAGAAGCTCAAATCTTCCGTCCAGCGAACCCTCCGCAAGGATCTACTCGACACATACCCTCTCCTCAACACCTATATCGACGAGATCATGCCCAAGAAGGCCACCCTTTCGAGTATGAAGCTTACCGACCGCAACACCCTCTACGTTCTCGACTCGACACCCATCTTCTTCCAGCAGGACCTGACAGGAATCCTTATTCCCCACCTCCGACTTGTCCATCGCTTCCCTCAAGCCTTCCCTAGCATTCGCATAGACCGTGGTGCTATCCGCTTCGTCCTCTCTGGCGCCACCCTCATGGCTCCTGGACTTACCTCCGCTGGTGGCAGACTGCCCGCCGACGGTTCGCCCGAGGGTGTGCCAGAGGACAAGATGGACCAGAAGATGGACGAAGATTTCCGATGGAGTAGAGAGTTGGTCAAGGGTGAGCCTGTTGTTGTCATAGCCGAGGGCAAGGAAGAGGCGTGTGCTGTCGGAACACTTTCCGCAGGAACCAAGGAGGTCAAGGCCAAGGGCAAGGGGCCCGTGATTGAGGACGCGCATTACTTGGGTGATGGACTGTGGATGATGCCTACTGAGTAGAAGGTCGCATCGTGTTTGGATTGAGGCTGGAGCAGGAATCTTGTGATACCAATAAACGAATGGGAGAAAGCACAACAGACAGCGGCGCAGGTCATGGGTTGATCTTGTTTATCGAGCATATCAAAAAGTATCCAAAGCTAGATTGGCGATTTTAAATGGTGTACCATGAGCAGTGCCCGGACTTGCGCGTTTTGTTATGATATCTCGGCATTGACAATTATTTGCTACAATGCTATAGTCAAGATACAGCCGATCACCATCGATCTAGCCAATGCATCCAGGCCACCGAATTCTTTCACTCTACCAGTATTTCCTAGAGGCGATATCCATGCCATGCCTCGTACTTGAATAATCGTCCTCCTCTCTAGAATCTCAACCTCCAGATAACCCATCCAGCAAACCAAAACCCTGTGATCCAATGACCGACCGCCTTGTACCTGAGCTCGTCGCCTCCATTCATCCACACAACCAACCCATCACCTATTCTCACAATCGACAGAATAGCTGAAAAGGTCGTCACAGCACTCCCGTTACCCTGCCATTGTAACGCCATGAGTGTCATTCCGTATGACATCTCACGAATACCCTTGAAGTACATGAGTGGCGAGACAGATCCGGTCTTGCTGGATTCTTTGCCAGGTTCAAGAAGAAGTCCGACGTGACCATATTCTGCTCGTGGTGAGATGAGAGCCATGATGCCACGCCCAACGCAGGCGGCGCCGAGAATGTTTGGCGAAGAAATAGAAGAGAATGTTGTCATAATGTATGTAGGTATGTCGGAAGATTGGGTTTGATGTAGTAGCCAATCATGCGGTCTGGTGAGAGGATGAATAGTGCTCCTGAGTTGACATGTCAGCAATGCAAAGATAACTGCAGGAGTCTGCTTATCTACATATGGATCTAACCAGAAATCTTTAGCGAGGTAGTCTTGGCCTCATCCTCTTTCCTGTTACCCACACAGCTAACCCTCGAGTTACCTGTATGTACATCGCGGATGAGTTCTGCTCTGGAGCCTGCCCTGGATGGGACACTGATCTCACGTGTGACGGGTCACTGGCGATGAAGAGAGATGTTAGCTTAACGGTGGTACCCGAGAAGTGCAACAGTATGTAGAAATAACAGTAGTCAAGTAAGTAAGAGGGTCTTACTTGTCGTCTCAGATGGTTGTTTTCACGTGCGGAAGCGGTGTCTTTCCTATGATGACGGGGATCACTAGAAGAAAGGCAATGTGACAGTAATCTCAGATTGGAGATGCTGCAGCCATCGTTCACTACCCATTGGAGATTTGAGATAAATATATAAAGCACGGCGTATTTGGGAGGAGGGTCGTCAAAGGCGTGAGAAAGAACTCAACGAATAAGTCTCTTGTATAACGGACGCGCTCTGGCAAATTTCAATAAGACTAACAACATATGTGGCCTATGAACGTTTTGGGTATTTTGACGACAACGAGAGAAAGTCTGCTATAGGCCTGGCGAAATACTTCTCTTTCGCCAATTCGCCAGAGTTCATCGAAAGCGATTGGGAGGCGCGACGACAGCTTGTTGAGATTATTTTCAATGTACTGAGATACATAGACTCAGTCTCTGGTGTTGATGACTTTGGCTGGACTCTCTCACGACGTGAATCTTCCCATCCATGTTCTTGTGACTAGGTACTCTAGTTCCACAACTTGTGTGCTTCGTATATATATCCAATTTACCCGACTCACTTCAACAACCCCCCAGCTACAGCAGTCTTAAGATTGTTCATCTTCCGTAGTATAGTGGTCAGTATGCAAGCTTGTCACGCTTGAGACCCGGGTTCAATTCCCGGCGGGAGAGATCCAGCCATCTGCGGAACGCAGATTTCTAATTTTTGCCTTTTCCCAATGGGCACGATAATTGTTGGGGGCTTTTCTTTTGTCAATCCTGTAGCTATGACAGCGGGTCTTGCGGCTCCTTTTTGTTTGAGATGAATGTCACTGATGCAAGGTACATCCCCAACCTTTCCAGGGTCTAGGCGCGCTAATTCGAACCAACATAACCGACATTCATGCGTGTTGATTTCTGGAAGGAATTAACCTTTCAGTTTTTAGATTGGCTTTAGAATTAACTTTCTGTGCAAAACGACCTCATCAGCCCAAAGCAAATGCAAGTCTAGGGACAAACGGAAAGGCAATCACATCAAAACAAAAGCAGGATAGAAAGATTTCTGTGCATAATGGTGCAGTTGTAAATTGTGTATGTACTCTATGTGAAGGTTCGTAGAACCAAACGGAGACGCTAATATATGCATTGTGAATCGTTATAGTAAGACCAGATCTCGGCCAACAAGGTAGGTAGAAGGTAGTCTAGACTGAACCTTCTGGAACATCAGAATCCAGAATTTACTGGCCCTGCTGGGAGTAGAGGCAGCCAACGGGCTCGCTGACCTCGCTGACGGCAAAGGTGACAGAGACACAGTCCTTGTTACCAGCGGGGTTGTCGACACCAGCGCTGGTGAAGACGGAGTAAGAGCCATCCTCCTGAGGGCAGGCGATGAAGTTGTCGCGGTCATCGTACTGGAGGAAGTTGTTCTCGTTGATGGACCACTTGTCCTGCTCACAGCGGGTGCAGAGAGGCTGGGCGCCAGTGCGGTAACCCAGCATGCCTTGGCCCATACCTGAGCGGTCTGTGAATGCCTGCTGGCGCGGGTTGCTAGTAGAGTAGAGAAGCATCTCCTTGGTCTTGGTGTTGAGGGTAAAGGTAGCGGCATTCTCCTTGGCACCACGGTCACAAGATGCACCCTGGTCCTTGAGCTTCAGGGCAAAGCCATTCATGGAAGCCTGGAGGTTTGTGTGATGAATAGGGCTAGCAGATCGAAGGGCAACAGCCTGGAAGACCTTGACATCGGGGTTGGGAGCGGCAGAGGCGATGCCAGCGGCAACGAGAGGAGTGAGGACGAGGTTCTTGAACTGCATGTTGGCGGTTGTTGTTTTGGTTGATTAATCAAAAGATTAAAGAGTTATTGATGGTAGGAGTGAGAGTTGTAGTGAGAAGATGAGTGAGTGGTGAGTGAGTGAAGAGAATTTGTTGAGAGGTTGATAGTAATGGTCTTATATACACATCTGGATCTCATTCTTGACATCATCACAACTCCCATACTCCCTAGTATTTAGTGGGTAATACTCGGGGATCGTCACCGGTAGTTGCCTCACAACGGTAGACCCAATGCGAGGTTCCGCGGTGCAAGGAACGGGGGACGATTGGGGCGCAATGGTAGCAATTGCATGTTGTCTTGCGGAGAATAACCATGAATACGAGTTGGTATGGGTCTGATGGAGAGCCTCCTTGGCCTGTGCTGCAATACCGGACTGGGGTATTCGGTGTAGCCAAGCAATAAGTAGCAATCAATCAGTAGCTGTTACTCTACACCCAGCTCCCATGTGCAATACTCCGTACGTAACAACCTAGACAGGCCATCGTTGCATTGCAACGAGCTTCACAAGGCGGTATGTACCTTTGACCGGAACCGAAGGCGACCAGCCATAGCCAGCCCCTGGGTTGGGCTCCTTGGACCGCTGGTGGTTAAAATTGGGGAATTCATGCTCTGCCAGCCCCAGCTTTTCAAGAAAACTAGCCAAGGTACCTATTCTTAGTTCATTCTTGACTTTCTAGAAATGGTCCTGACTTAACTTAATTTGAACTAGACTAGATCTTCCCTTTTCCCCCTATTGATCCGTGGTGTTTCCTACTTGGCTGCAGACGTCATAACAAGACAAACTAAGAGCTTTGACAAGAAACTAACAACAACAAGTCCCGTTGTCGATTTCAATGTTGGCATTGACGTTGCCACTTGGTCAGCCAGCTGTACAATGGTCCCCTTTGTAAATGCAACAGTCCGACTGTTTGCCATGACCGACAATCCGCAGGGCAAAAAAAAATAAAAATAAGAAAATTAATAATTGCGGACTACAATCGGATGATCGATCGAGCCAGGTTCTCCTTTTACTGTGCATTTTTGACGATCCGGTTCTATCTTCTTCATCTAGACTCTAGCCGAAGTTAATACCCTGTGTTAAGGGTCCAGCATTTTACGGTGAAGTCGCGCACCCAGATGGAGCCCGCCAAGATGGATGGTATATCCGGACTCTTTCGCCTCCTCAAGACGGTCAACGGGAATGTAACAATGGTTATGGCCAAGGCGGAATTGAAGTCTTTGGGCTTCTAATTGTGGCGTTGCATTATTCAACCAGAGAGCGGTGATTTCATGCTTGGACAGATATGTCCTGAGTTGCAAGGGGAAAATACAAGGACGTTGATGGTGGGGTATACAGGGTTTCACTTATATAGCATAACATGCCAAAATAAACCAAAGTCACTTGCCAAGCATTTGTACATCACATTTTATGCAGGGAAATATTTATGCAAGTTACGGCCAACGATCAGCATACCCCAAGAAGTTTATACGAGATTCTGTTGTCGATCAGCCCGTATAACCAAAAACCGGCCTCATTACGTTGAAGTACTTCTTTTTGCGAATGTATGATACTGATGGTCATATCACATACACAATTTTGGGTAGTTGGTATATGCAGGCTAGGAGCATAGAGACGAAATTAATAGACCAGTTTATGCTACTTAGACCATAATTCTTAGGCTGTTTATTTCTGTACCCTAAAGCTTAGGCAGGGTCGAATACATATTTTAGCGCTGATGGGGCGTTAGTCAGTACAGGTAACCTCGTAACGTTACTGGCCCAGCCTGCCATCTCGGAATGACCTCATCTGTTCAACGTCTCCAGGACAGACGTTGAGAATGCTCTACTCCAGGGTAAGACCACTGGCTTTGAGAATTCTATGCTTGACGACGAGTCTCCCATCAAACATCCTAAAGCCATGCTATGCTCAAGGCACAAACATAGCTCAGCTCACCCAATCAACTCCCTCATACAAATTCTACTCCAATTTCACAGCAACCCTACCCCCAGCCTACAAAACTATCAAAATCACAAAACGAAACGATATCGACAAACTCTACCCTCTACTTCTATCATACATCACTGAACCAAGCAAGGCAGCTTCACTACATGAGGTCATTGTTGACATATATGGTTGGCCAAACTTCTCTTCCTGCCTCCACGACGAAGGCGACGAGCCGGAGCCGCGCCAAGACAGTGGCGAGGGCCTAAACAAAACGCGACCCAATCGTCAAAACGACCAGGATCCTCATTCAGCTCTCGAAGATCACGTTACATCTCTGGGTCTTGGGGATCAATTAACGGAAAAGATCGTTGGGGCTTTGACATGGAAGAGGAAACACTGGTCAGGTGAAGTCCCGGACACTGCAAGGGACTTTGACAACAATGAGAGGGCGTTTGCAACCGCTGCACTCATCATAATCTTTTCCCTATGTGAACAGATCTCTGTGCTACGTATAGCCGATTTCCCCACACTCCTCAGACAGTATTTGCTCAAAAACAACTATGGGCAGCTCAAACGATTTGCCTTGCAGCAACTCAAAACTGTCGAGTTCGTCAAGGAATATCCCTTGGACAACAGAGTATACGAAGTAGTGGAGTTCTTCGAGTATCTCAGACATTTTGGCAAGCTACCAGCCATGGAAAACCTGACTATGGAGGGTGTCATGGAGAGTGAAGTCAACGATTTGGTCTCACCAGGCACTTCCAATATCAGAAACATCCATCTCAGCCATTGCGATATTTCCGGATCGACCTTGAGCAAGATGATTCGTTCTTCTAAAATACTCGAGGAACTCCGAGTTTCTTTCGGTGGCTTGTGGCATCTGGACATAGGTGCTTGGAATATTCGACCTCAGACCGTAGGGAAGAGTCTGTTGCAACATCGAGACAGCTTGAAAGTGCTGGATCTTGATATTGCAGATTTTGATTATACAGAAGTTGAATCTGGGGAAAATAGTAGGTTTGACGAGCTTGTACAGAGTGGCGATGAGTATTTCGAGCTTGACAGAGAATCAAGCACACTCCCGTTCTGGCAAGAGGATATACCAGATGATCGACCTTACAGCCTGACGATCGGTTCTCTGCACGATTTCAACGCCATGACACATCTCAGCATCGGTCTGAACGCTCTGTTCGGCACATCATATAGACGACAAGAACCTCCGTTTCGACTCATAGATGCGTTGCCTCCCAATTTGGAGTATTTTTGCCTCTATGGTTATGTCAAGGGGGAATACGAAGAAATTGATAGCCATATCAATGAGCTTATACAACATAAGGAAAAGCGTCTTCCTCGTCTGTTGAATATTCGCGGGGTGGGTGAGACAGTCCTGGGGGTTTCTGATCTATATGCCGACGACAATTCCCAAATAGAAGATAACCTGTGGCAGTGGCCTGAGATGGAATTGAAGTGGGTTGAAGCTTAGGGAAGTTTTAGTATACATTATGTTTTCTTAGGAAAGCTTTAGACCTAAATATGGACTAAAAGAATAAATAGAGAGTACAATGACAAAACAAATGGGTCCGAGAAATCTGACAGACGAAGCGGCCCTTATACAAGCCTGGGTGAGGACATTGGAACTCTCTGGTTTCAAGGCAGTTTGAGAGAGAAATTATGGTAAAAGACAATTAAATAAAAGTTTAACTAGCTAATAGCAGGCAAAAAGACAAACCTTCAGTATTGTACATAACAATAGAACTCAATCTTGTCGATTCTACACATACACCCTACTAGACGTAAGAACAATTTCCCATCTAGGGCCCCTGCCACACCCAGTATCACGCTCCCATCCACTTACCACGACAATAGTAGTCGAGGCTGGTGCCAGCCAAGATCTGGTGGTTTTTCACGTTTTCGAAGTCTAATGCTGCCTTTTCACCTCAGCTTTGAATCATAAGGGAGAGCTCAAAGAAACAACCTTATCCGTGCCAGTCAAAACAGATCAGCTATTCGTATAGCTCGATCAAGTCGTCGAACTCGTCAGCAGCAAACGTAATGGAGGTCTCTCTGCTAACATGGCGGAGCTGACTATCAGCGTTGTCCGAGTTGCCTGGATTTTCAAAAAGAGGTTGGAAGATCGAGGAGGGTCCGGCGGTGGGAGAGTGCCTGTATTTTTCGCTGGCACCTTCAGAGGAAGGGGATTCTGAAGTCTTTTCCATCCAGGGATGCTTTCCAAAGCATGTGCGGGAAAGGAACAACTTGAAAGTCTCTTCAAACTTGTCCTGAATGTCTCCTTTGAATTTCCCGTATTCTTGTAGGAGATTTGAGTTGAACCGGTGTTCGTAGCCAAGAACCAGATCGGGCTACCACTTGTACTGCACCATGCAAATGTACAAAAGGACGAGGTCGTCCGGAGTAAGGACTCTCTGAAGCCGTTCGTCCTTGGACACAGCGATCCAAGCTCGGTAGATCTCTTCAGAGCGGAATTTGAAGTATTCCTTGCCGAGGGGGAAAGACTTGGAGTGGGGGTTGTGGTGAAACATTCGCGCGACGATGTAGCGGCTAATGGTGTCCTTCAAATTGTCAATCTCAAAGTCCAAGCTGTGGTCAAAAGAGAAAGAGAGAGTAGCGAGCATGAGAGGAAGGTTGACCCCATCTTCATGGCCAACGAAACCGCTAGGACACAACTGAATCCCGAGTAGAAGAGTCAAGACGTCAGCGTCAATATCCGGAATCTTTGATTGCAGCAGGAACCCCTAGCCTGGCTGCGAAATAAAGGTGTCGATGGGGATAAAGAATTCTTGACCTTTGGCATTGACTCGATAAAGACGTCGAGGCCTGTGGAAGAACTTTTGCTTAGAATCGTACTACACAGTAGAAATGAGTGTCCTCGACTTACTCTTGAAACAGCTCGGCATTGATTATACGGCCCTGAGTATGGATCAGGGGGTACGATTCCTGCGTAGAATGTTAGCGGAACTATCCACCGAACGATTCAAATAGGCCTAGAGGTGATCTAAAGGAGACTGATATTGTGTGTAAGCTCGTAAACTTACATCGCCGGGTAGGTACTAGACCGGATGATCGACTTCTTGTCCATCGACAGGGGCGTCAGGGTGAGATGTAGCACAACGAACAACCGGAATCTTCACGGTCTCTTCTGGCGGGTCACAATGGATAGTCGAACGGTTGATAGAGCAGTCGATCAAGTGTTGGTCCGAAAAGTCATCTGCATCAAGTGGAATATGTGCTGTGCCAGCAGTCGAACGAGCACTAAGACGGCCACCTTCTCTCACGAACTGCCCAAAAGACACAATAAAATCGTCTACGTGAGAGCGACTGTCCAGAGTTTGGGATCGGCGTTGAGCGGCTGCGATATCTGCATAACGACGAGGCCTCCGAAAATCTCGACGACGTGTCAGATGGTCCCAGACAGACTGCACTTGGTGAAAGAATGATCGTTGAGGCATATTGTGCCCACACGAGTGCCGGAACTACTACGGGATGATGGTTTGGGAGAGGAGAGGCTCGTCCACAGAATGAGATGAAACTGATAGGCGGGCACCTTGAAGTAGGGATGATGAGTGTCATACCCTAAGAGGCAGTAAGGGGAAATCAGAAGAAAGGTATCTTACCGAGTGAAAAAGGATGCAGAAGTGCTGAATTATCTCAGTCATTAGATGAGTAGAGAAAAAATCTCGTACTGGGAGATGACAAGGACGCAAATGATGAGAGAAAGAAAAAAGATAGGAGTGCCAACAACGACAAACTGAGAGTGACCTTTGCAAAGCAAATGTTAGAGCCAATAACAGTCATAGAAAGGACATCAAATGCGGTTGAGGGAATAAAAGAATCAGCACGAATACACCACTAATGCTGATGTATGGGAAAGATTGGAAGACTGCTTGGGTGGTGGGCAGAAAGGTAGGTGACGGAATATGGCGGGGGCAAACGTTTGCCAAACTCGGGTTCAAGCCCTCTAATAAGATAAAAACAAACTTGGATTTGATTTCAGGAAACAAAGAAATGTTTTCTATAATATTTCATCGTTTTAAGTCTCAGGTACGGGTCAAAAAGATTTATTTAGTAGATAGGAGAGGAGATCTAACAGTAGTTTACAGGGGAGATACTGCGACAGTAGCAAATTGAAAAGGAGAAGAGGGTAGAGGAGATGGGTCAAGAACTATCAGGACAACGTCCCAAACTCAGAGGTAGACTGGTCCTAGGTTCGCGGGCCGTAATGTCTGCTGGGTGCCTCGTCCCAGGCCTCGGAGCCCAACTCCTGAACTACTTGGTGACCCATACTCTTGAATGCCCAGTAGGGCTTTCCCCACCATCGATACATCTGTATCTTAATGCTGTTTATGTTAAAAGCTTTATTGAGCCCGTCTTTCGCGATACGATGAAGGTGCTTATCGTGAAACTCTTGGCCAACTACCATAAATTTCCATCAAATTGAACGGTTGGAGTAGAGCAGAGCTAGTGCAGCTTCTTCCTCCGCCAAATCCTCCCATCTATGCCTAGGACATAATTAAGAGCCGGAGCGAGAAGCACGGCGTAGTAGGGGGGGAGGAGCCGTGCCGATGGCGACGCCATCTCAGACGGCTTCGTCGTTTGCGGGCTTCCACTCCTCACTGGGGAAGTCCCTGGCACCGAATGCATGGTATCTTTCGCAAACAATCAAGATCAGGTGCGGACGACAAAGAGTGATTCCAGACATGCATTGACATCCGAGATAAACTCATTGCAGCCAATCAGAAGCATATATGTCACATCGCCGTTGGCCACCAGCTCATGGCGGACGAATGTCGAACGTATAATAAAAAGTTCGATACGCTTGGTCGAGTTCTTCTTTCGACATCGTCCCTCCTCGCAAAGTTCCTGGCGCGCCCCCTGAAGATGTTGCAGATTATTTGATTCGGTGGTGTCATGGATCTCTCTGTGACGTCTAGCATCCGTATCATGTCGTTCCCCATTATTTGAATTATTTTCTCGGTTAAATCTTCTCAAGCACTAAGGGGTGTATGGTTGAGATTTCCAGCACTTACAGCAAGAGTTTTGCATATTACATAGTGGAGGTAACGTTCAAAACCAAATATTTAAGGTATAAATATCGTAGGGAAAGACTGTAAGAGCTTCTGCGATCTTGCCAAGATAGAGGTTAGGCTCTCATACAATCTTGGGGCATATCAACATAGTCACATCATGAAATTCGAAGCGAAAAACTTGTATTCATTAACTACTTGGTATTGGCCGACGCAGCGGCAAGAAATCAAACATCAGATGTCGTTTAAAAACAAAAGAAATCTATAATTATCAGTATAGAGACTTGTTATAGTAGAAAGTAAAGTACTTACCAAGACCTTAGAAGCCTGCAGATCGGTAACGCCCTCGATAGGGCCAAAATGGAGGACTAGAAGACGGAAGTGTTAGTATATCTATATAGGTATCATAGTATAAGGGTTCGGATGGACTTGCGGGTTCTCTGGGATACCCCAGAGCCTGGGGCTCTACCCCGAGGCAGCTCTGCTGTTGTGGGCAGAGCCCCAGTGCGACTGACGCCTCGCCCGAAGGACAGCCTAGGCCCCTCCAGGAAGTCGATCCCGAAGAGAGGGAACCTCGGGCGTGATAGCCCGGGCGTCCCGGCCCGCCTGGACTTGGCCCCCTGCCTGGGGGCTGTTGCGTCGCTCTACTGCCGCAACGACGTCGTTCTCGATGGTGCGGGCAAAAGCCCGGACACGGTCCATGTTGAACAGTCCGTTGGGAAGGCGCACGCTGTTAGGGGCCACAATGTTGTAGCGGGATGCGTCGACACGTTCGACGATGATCTCTTTCATAGCCTTTATGTGAAGAGAACGCATCTGAATAGCCTTTTGGTTCGTAGGCTGAGCGGGACCCGGGAAAATGTTCTTGATCTCCTTGATTATATCGTTCTTCTGCTTCTCGAAGAGGAATTCGCGAAGTCGTTGATGATAGTCCGATTCGATCTTGAAGGTTTCAAACGCTTTGTTCTTAACGTCTTCACGGGTGGTGAGAGCCTTTGAGTAGAAACCTTTGGAACGGCATAAAGGCTTGAACACATGAACCCAATGTGCGTAGACAGGACGCTTAGCTAGGCGTTGACGATCGTTGGATTTGGTAGGCTCGTAGTCCTCAGAATAGTCGGAAGGCACATAGAACATGGGAGACTGGGAGATATATCCGAACATGGTGTCAACATCCGCAAAGGGTCGCCAGTACTCTGTGGAGGAGACTCCGACGAATTCGAGGATTTGGTTGGGGACAGAAGTAAGCAGGATCTTAGCCCTTTTCTTGTCGATTCGTTCAACTTCGGGGATGCGAATCCAGAGTCCCACGTTGTCTACGGTGAGTCCAAAGGGTGTGATGACGGATCCGAGGAGTTGCCAGATATCGCCGTGAGCTTGGTGGAAGCGTAGGTACTTAGCCTGCTTGACAGTGTCACAGTAATGGACGTCAACCTGGATGTAGAAGCCGGACTTGTCGTCATTGATCGAATTTGGAGTGGAAGATGCACCCTTCTTCTAAATTCCGGTTAGTGCTATGGCTATAAACAGGTTAGGGGATATTGCCTTATTATCCCCATCACCGGAACTGTCTCCAGAGTTCCAGCTGGACTGACCAAGCTTGCTGATAAGGTTTGAAAAGGATGAGAAAGAGCCTAGCCGGAAAGTGAGCCACGATACACTATCAGCATACTGAGATCTTGGAGTACTTACGAGAACGTGGGATGAAGAGCTTTTTGCTTGGGGCAGACCAAGAAGACTTTCTCCTTTTGCCGGAATCAGGGCTAGGAGAGAAAGTTCCCTGCGGGCTAGGGCTTCCAAGTTCCGAACCAGGGCTGTCCGCCATAAGGGCGACGGCAAGTCCGGTTTGGCGAGCAACGGCATGTGGAAGCTAGAGTCGGTTGTTAGTGTCATATCTTGCTTGTTAACACTCATTTGTATGTGAAATTTAAACTTACGATTGTTCTTCCTTTGTCTTGCAGTTCTTTGAGCGTTAGGGGTTCAGCGTTGGAATCGGGATTCCCTGGCGCGCCAGATTGAGGACGAGATAGATCAGAAGAAGCGGTACAAGCAGAGGAAACATCCCCAAGAGGAGTAGCAGAAGACTTGAGTTCGTTGGAAGTATCGTCCTGAAGCGGATCATGGGTAATCGGCTGGGGAAGATGTTTGGGCCAAGGGATAGCAAAATGAGCGGCTACAGCGCTTCCTGGCTCAGTGATTTGAGCGTCGGCCTCGAGAAGATGGTTGATGAGATTGAGGATGCTCTCCTTGCGCATATCGTCGCCGATGAGACCGGAGACGATGATGTCGATGTCGCCAAAATCTTTCTTACCAGGACCTTCAATGGGAGAATCGATCCAGCCAAAAGCAGGGGTTAGAGCGCGAATGACTTTATTCTTTACCTCGAGATAGACCTCCTTGGGCATGCGAGGCGTCTCCAGAGGAGGATCCGAATGAGAAAAGGCCTTGCCTCCCATTGTGACAGCAATACAAAAGACGTGTGTGCTTGTGGTAGGAAATCAAGAGGAACAAAAGAACAAACTTTGTGGTACGATGAAGCAAAACAGAAATGTTGCAGGAGTTTGGGAGGAGGCAGGATTTAGGTGGACGAGCATGCACTAAATATGACAGCAGCTGGGATCTGACCTAGCCCACTTCTAGGCTGCCCTCCGACTTTCTCTCACTGAGTCACTGACAGACGCCAACACCGAATCACTCAAAATACACTCCTTGGTAAGTCAGTTATTCAGCCTCAATCTCCAACTTGATTCTTCTCAAATATTGATTCTTTTCCTTCCTTCTTTTCTATCTACAAGCACTATTATCTCACAAGTTAACATCTTACCATCTTCAGGTTCACCTCAATATTCTCCTCTCTTCTAAACATTATATTACACGACTGGTGAACGCTGGACTCGCTGCCCTATGCGGAACGGCATAGTCTTTGCCTTCTTGACCTTCAAGGCCCAGAAAAAGGAAACAACTGCACAAAACCTCACGCCCTCACAAGAAATCAGAGATAACAATACATCTCTGATATAAGAACTCTCTTCAACTCTAAGAAACCATCGGGGAGCTATCTATAAGAATAAGCTTCTTCCCATGAAAGTATTGCCTTTAGGAACTACTGCGGCTCTGCCCATGCTGCAGTCTGATTTAGCTCTACCGATTGTAGGTTTTGCAAACCCTCAGCAAGGCAAGCAAAACTTCTTGAACTTGAAAAGAGATTGTAAAGCGTATCAAGTTTCCGACATATGATGGTTGTTGAAAGGAAACATTACTGTCGAATGGTCTTTAATACAGCCATCATCCCTTTCGATTTACGTTACCAAACGAAGAAAAGCAAGCCAACGTTGAGAGTTGTATAAAGTCTATACTAATATATCTTTCAACTGCTACTACGCAGCAAAGCTCCCATCATTATACCGATAGGGACTACAATGACTATACGGATACCATTCAATAGACCCTCAATCAGCCAGAAACTACTAGCCAACCTGGTGTCCAGCACAACGAGCGCATCCGTACAACTACAGCCTCGATCAAGTCACCCGCGGTCAAAGAAGTCCACAACTAGGGCGCCTCCGGGCGGAGGACCCGGAGAGTCGACTGTTATCTCTAGACGCATATACGAAATTCACCGTTCGGCAAGCATCGACATACTGGCGTAGGGTTATAGTATGACCAATTTTCTGAAATGCCATACCGACCGAGATTCGTCGACGAAACGGCGAAATGGTCTGTGAAATGAACAATGTAAAAGAAGAAAAGACTTCAGTCGTGGGATAAATGGCCGTCACTTAGAGATTGCTGATTCTTTATTCATACCTTGGAACGTTCCAATAGACCAAATCATTTTGCAGACCTGCTCATAAGTCGTGCAGCTGTATTTGATAAATCCAGATACAAGTACCCTCTATCGATATTTGACATCTGGAAAGCACGCGGTAAAATGAAACTTGTGTTCAGGATATTAGAAGGATGTCTGCATTTGGTAACACACAAAGATCAAGTGAAACAATAATAAAGGTTGTACTAGAAGGGACCTCATGAGAGCTTGCAGCTATCCATTTTGTAGAATTTTATATATTTTGGCCCGGCCTGATAAACATCTTACGGGCCTATTGTTATAGTCCAGTGGGTATAGGGTAGGGTCTCGATGCTTGCCGCGAAACAGCGGCATGTGGCAGCCAGATTAGCCAGGCTTCTCTTGTTGAGATACTTTGGGTTCATCCCCCTTGCGATGTTCCGTGGCTTTAAAATCAACCCTGTATCTCAGGGAGCCAACATTGCAACTGGTGCTCCCCGTGCACTTGTCGGCGGTCACTATCGAGGGTGCTGGGCCCTTCGTGCCGAGTACATTGGTCAATATAACTGTATTACGGGTAGGTTAGTTTTGATCAATGCTATGTATGCGTTCTTGGAGATTGAAAGGAAAGCTGAAGGCTGCGATTCGTGGCTCGCCGGGCTGATCTCAGCTCAATTTACGTCGAAGCCGACGTTTACCACACACCTTGAAAGAAAAGACGGTCCTCACACTCAAGGGCTTATACCTTGGCTGGTATCCTTCGAATGATATTTTATCGTTCATAAAAAGCTGGCCCAGTGCCGGTGGAGGGCAACTGTGACAGTTGCCGGCAGAGATCGGATCATCGTCATCCCTTGCGGGCATCGTGCTCTAGGACTATTGAAGTTCGTGTGTCTCGATCTATGAGCTCGGATTAGCATTTGAGCTCACTGACGCGATGAGTGTCGTTCGCTTACCTCGAAATCGCCACTTATGGCCCATGTGTGCTGGAGACGAGGAAAAGCTCAAGTATATTCCCTTGGGCGTCTCGGCAGGAGATTGCAGCAGAGTCGAAGGATTTGTGTAGGCAGTCACTGTCGTCAAAAACGTCAGTATCGATCCGACCAGAAGGTATTATCTAGGGAGTGTATTTCACTCGATCTTTCGATCGATATCATTCTCTCCACGGTGCAACTGTGTAGTTTTGTTCACAGTGACTTACCTGCTGGATAGATCTGTCGAGAATCAGGATGTATTTGCTCTTCGTCTGCGTCCAACGATATAACATAAAGGTCAAGTAGAATAGAGGAATGGATTTTATGTTGGAGGTAGTAAGATGGGTGCTGTCTTGAAGAAGAATGCAAACGATTAGATCAGCGAGGGTTGACGTATGAAGAAATCAGAATTTCGTCGAACCCCCTGTTGCCTCTGCAGAGGGCCAAGTCAGTGGGCGTATGGCAAGCCCTATCCACTCCCTATCATCCCACCCAGGCCACGCATGCCCTGAGTACGTATCTTGTCTGCCTGCCTGGGCTTCTACAAATTTCTCCTCTCCCTCTGTTCATTCTATACGTGCCTCACTGTTGGCTGTTGTTGGCAGTAGTGTTGCATTAAATTCATCATACCAACTGCCACTCCGCTGCAAACACACATCAGGGCACAGTAACAGCCACGGAAAACAGCAAACTGACAATTGGGTGAGCAGTCTCATTACCCCCTTGAATAATTTGGCCTAAGTGTCAGGTACAGCTTTACTTTTAGACTCAAATTTTTGGAAAGGGCCTCTCCTGAATGTACGGAGCTTCCTTGGGCTATAACGAAGATAACGGCCTGTCCAGGTACAGCTGTGAGTTTTCATCTACGCTACAGCAGTTTAAAGACAGCATGTTGTTCCTTTCTCAAAGAAAACCATTGCTGAAATGAAGCCTAGTTGCCAAAACTACTTGCCTCGACATCCTCCTTGATAAATCCTACCAAAAACAACAAACCATGCTGCCATGTTGAGATCTAGAGCATTATTTTTGCCAGAGTGTTACTACCAGTCCAGATATGTGCACGAAAAAGAATTGATTCAGATAGCCTAATCGTGGTCTCTATCCTACAGCTATCCGCTATGCCTACACATGGTTATAGTTCGAGTCTTTGATAGTTTATCTATTAGGTTCCAACCTACAGCGTAGCTTTTTAAGATCCTATACTTCCAAGTTGGTTTGTTACTCCGGGCCACCGTGACACTTGATTGTTTCTTGATCATGTTTTACCATGATGCAGCCACACGACATGACAATACATCAATGCACTTATTCCTAATAGCTGTACTCTTACCTTGCTAATATGCTTGTTTGCCTGTTTTGTTTCTTTTATTTGACAATGAGTTGATACTTGGTGCCAGTGTAACCAAAATACCGTCGTGCCTAAATGGTACCTTTGTTTGCTGACGTGTGCAAATTAAAAGACATGCCATGTTACACTTGCAGCTCTTGTCTAACCCCATTCTTCTGTGACAGATAATAGCTCTTGCATTACCCAAAAATGCTTATTCTAGATAGAAGCTTAATTCTCTATGAACGCCAGACTACAGGGTAACTTAAGTCCAACCAGTTAAAGGCATCACAATCAACATTCAATGTCAAGGCGTCAGAGGCGTGTAACAATCGAAACCTTGGTAGATATTCTTGGCCAAAATACCGAGTTGTCATCTCGTCTTATGGAAAATATGCATTCAGTCTTGATAGGTACACGAAGCCTCGCACTAGAGTCCTGCAGAACCCTGACGCTAATGTCTTGTTGGAACCTCCAGTACATTCACACTCAGCCTCAGTCCAAACTTGAGCGGGGAAGATATGACTTGACATATGTCAGAATGGAGGCAAATCGACACAATTGGCCTCTCACAGGCAAAATCCCTGCAAGATTACCAAGCCAAGGCAACCTCGGATGATACCTTGCGGGGTTGCAAGGATTCTCTTAACTTTCAACATAAACTAAGCCAGCATTGGAAGCTCCCGATCGAGCATGTGTCTACCCCTTGTCGATTATTTCAGGTGAAAAACATGGCTGGGAGATGAGATAAATACCCCAAGGTCCATTGGTCAGACCCATCTATTAATCGTTTCCTTACAGGCTCATTCTTTTCTCGTCAAACTCTCCCCTCACATCCTATCCACCATGCGTCCTTTCGCCCTCTCGACAGCCGTCTTTGTGACCGGGACCGTCGCTCAGAATGCCTGGAAAACTTGCTACGATGGACTGTTCATGATCGCTGCACGAGGCACGAACGAGGATAAAGGATCTGGTAGAATTGGAGACATTGCCGAAGCTGTCGCCAAGCGTATCAATGGTTCTCACGTCTACGGACTCGACTATCCCGCGACATTTCAAGAACCGGACTACGAGGAATCCGAGGCTGATGGCGTAAAGAAGCTGAAGGACATTCTCGGCAGCTATTTCTACCAATGTCCAAACAACAAGGTCGCTGTCTTTGGCTACTCCCAGGTCCGTGGCAGACTTTCATTATGAACGACACGACAATGAGACTGACAGCAGAACAGGGCGGCCAAGTTGCCAGTGATGTCTTCTGCGGCGGAAGTGGTGGGGATTTCCCAACCAACGAACCCGTTACAGTTAAAGATGTCGAAAAGAACGGTGAGTCTTCTCTCTACGCTCCATTCGGCAGCATACTGCAGATACTAACTATTCTAGTCATTGCTGTCATCACATTTGGTGACCCAAGCCACGTGGCAAACGTCTCGTACGACGTAGGAAGCAGCATTAACGACGGTGTAAGTCCACAAGCAAAATTGCCGTGTCATGTTTTCCAACTCTAACGCCGTATACAGGTTTTCCAGCGTAACGACACTAAGCTGTGCGAGGACAAGTACAGCGACATCTTCCACGCCTATTGTGACACAGGCGATGTGTACTGCGACAGGGGTAATGATACGGACATTCATTCGAGCTACTTTAAGAAGTATGGAAAGAAGGTTGAGGATCTTGTCGTAGAGAAGTACGAGAGCGCTATGAGTGAGAGCACGACAACGCCTACCTCTGAGGCGACTGGATCGGCCACTTCTGCCTCATCTGAGGTGACTAGTGTAGATGCTCCAGGCAATGGTGCGTCTGGATTGGTACCTGGTCTTGTTTTGGCCATGGTTCCCCTGGCACTGAGTCTGTCACAGCTATTGTAACAAGACAAAGAAACCAAGGATGCGTGCCTTTTTGTACGTTGTTCGATCAAGCTCAGTTGTCATATAGAGTTCTAGAAGTATGCCAAACTACGACTCTCTTGAATGAGGCGGCACACACGCTTGGCATGAAACTAGGATCGAAGGCTGAATCTTCGTCTATCTGGCGGAGTATGGTTGTAGTCCGAGTCTAAGGATAAGCAGTAGCTAGGAGAGAAACGAATCTGAGATAAGGTTTAAGCACATCTTCTTAGCCTGACATGATATCATTCCAGCAGTCATCTAGTGATACAAAGCATCCCTTCATTCTATCCCCTTGAAATGCACATGATTATCAACATAACCCCGTATTACACCATGTTGATATTTCTCGGCAGTCTCATCTCTCTCAGGCAAGAGACAATAGCATAAGAAGACCGACATAACAGAGAAGCTTTGATAACAAGGACTACCTGAACGGACGACGGTGCGAAAGTCGATGCTCAAAGCTGGTGAGTGAACCGTGGGCTCTTGATATATGCAAAAAGGAAACATGGGTAGTTCCATCGAGTCGGCACTTCTTGTCGGAGTTAAGGGAGCTTGGCGTAGTTGGATTTTTCAAATTCGTGAAAGGAGGACGATGCAATTCATGTAGAGTTGGCATGGAAGTGATAGCTGGGTCATCACATGGACAGAAATTGACTCTTCAGATCATAACAGTGGCTGATAGATGATACCCAGCTGTCTCGGTATGTTCAAATCTTGATTTGTCATGTTCTGACGTGCCGTTGAGCGATATGAGAGATGGCCGTTCTTTCTGGTTGGTCTTTGACATAAAGATATTGTTCAATAGATTCTTCGTCTTTGGTTCTCTTATAGGGGCGCTCAAAGTCGTGGGCGGCAAAATGTTGTACTCTAATGCTCCTAACTGGGACCGTATACAGGTCTTGCTGATGGCTAGTAAAGCTATAGTGCCAGGTGGTCTGCGCCTCGAGCGGTGGATTCCGATACTCTGGGGGCAAGGGCTCTATCTCGCTGTAGAATAAATCAATCGATGCGCCTCTTTCATGTATTTGCACAAGCCAGGCTATTCGATATCCGAGGGGCAGGTTAACTTATTCGTAGTGCTGTGTCGTGTATGTGGCTCCAATACCAAGCTTTGGAATGATCAAGGCGTGGAATCAGAGTAGATAGAACTGCCGTCCTGGATCAAGTGCATTCGACTTCGTGCCCTATACTGCTCAAACTGTTAGCAGAAATACAGCTTGTTGTCGTTTTGTGCTACTCACAATCTGCTTAATGAATTCAGGGGCTCGGTGAATTTCATATTGACAGGTCGGGAATAGTTTGCAGGTATAACGAGGGATTGGTAATCAGTATTTGATCAATCCGGGAGTCTTCTTTGTTGGTTACCTTCATGCTTGCCGGTGGACGGGTGACCTACTGGTTGGGTTCTCTTCAAACCCAGGGGAAACAAGGTGTACGGGTCAGTCAGAAACATAACAAGAACAGGTGGTGTCTACCTATTTCAACCAAGCAGTTACATCATTGGGGGATTGATCTTGGAGAATGGATTGTTTTGTCAAACACTTTGTGCAACGGGGCAGAGTACTCCATAAATGTAATGCCTAACTGCCTAGGCGTACTAATGCTCACAGGGAGCTCTATTACATTCTACAACTAATTTACTGCTGCAGTCGTATGTATAGGTGCTAAACTTTAATACTCCGGTGGCCTATCCACTGTATCATAAGTCCACTCACTGAAAGATATGTTTAGCCAAACATCGATATAGATGCGTGAATATGAAAGCAAACAGAAAATAAGTACAGAGAAATTCAAATTACATCGTTTGATATTACTGATATCTATGCGTTGCTACTCCAAAGCAAGTAAGTCAACTGGAACATCCGAGTGACACCTGGCTCAGGGGTACACGGCATTGCCCTGCGGTTTGGATGCCCAGGTCATTCTATTAGGCCCGTGGAAGAAATTATAGATGCCTAGAACCTTTCTTTGGCCCTTCCAGATGTATCCAATGCAAAAAGTAGGGCTTGCCACAGCCCTGACTTTTTTCTCATAAACCCCTCCCACAATTCCCCTCGTCACAACACCCCCCTTTGCAATCACCTTCTCCCACCAGCTCCAAATCTCCCACACCTCTGTTTCAAACTTACTTGCCTTCGATGTCTACTAGTCATCTGGTAGGTGTCTATGATGCCATGTGCACCTACCGCAACCAAGGTAAATCACGGCGCCCTTTCTCCTCATCATCGTCATGGCTGACTCTCTAGCTGTTCCAAACATGCCTCCAGCTTTCATGCATCCGAATGTGTCTTCTTTGTAGCGTGATACAATATGGCAGTGTCTCCTGGCCTGCTCAACGTCTCAATCACCTGCGTTTTCGTTCAAGCTTAGTAAGTCATCCCTCCTCACTACTTAAGCAGGAAATTCACTGACAAGACTGTGCAGTAATATTTGAGCTTACATAACTCAAAGAAGTCACGTACAGATGGCCGCAACACATGTATGAAGCCATATCCGTCTCGATTTGGGCTCTGCTGACTCTTTACAGGCCGAAATCTCACCCCAAAGTGGCCATCGGTGCCCAGCCTCCTGCGTTTTCGTTCAAGTTTAGTAAGTCTCTTTCCATTCTCACAGGAAACTACTCAAGCTGACTGAAGCATTCAGTGACATTATGCCTCGGCGAACGCCGATCGCTCTGGAGCGCGGGAGAGATAGGGATGACTTGGAGGATCTCCCTTCTCTCCCATCGGTGTTGCTTTGCCATTCAACTTTGAACTGGTGGCTTCAAGGTAAGCATACTTCCACTGCAGTCAAATGGATTTGTTCTAACATCTTATCAACAGCCAGAGGGGCACTCTTTCGGACTCCTCAGTGCCGAACTCCCGTCACTTCGATCGTTCAGGGGATGAGAAGCTGGTTAGTCGGACTGACGCAAGTCTCTTCATTTAACCTGCTTCTTCTTGTCTGGGAGGTCGAACTGACGGGAGTTTCTGGGAGCACTGAGGACCATGTTCCTCGGTGCCTGTGCTGGGAAGCTGATGCCAGCGGGGTAAAGGATAAGCATACCATGGATGATGAATCAAATTATCTCTATTATGGGTTCTTGCAGCATATGATAGTTGGAACATGGATACAGTTGAAATTGCTGGAGACTTAAGTCTGTCTAGAGGAATATGACAAGGCTACAAAGACACAATATCAAATTAAAAACCACAATCTGCATCCAGCACGACTTGCATATTAATGACGACAGATGCGAGGCCAATCAGCCAGAAGTAATTTATGTGTTTCTCGACACTGCCTTTATGGGTTCCATTTGTAGATCTATGACCGTTCTTTGTTGTCACTCCGATTTCTCGCAGTCAATTCAAGACTCATGTCCGCAAATTCACCTGTCACTTCGTGGGGGAGGTTTGTTTTCACACTTGCCAAGCAGTGTAACAGTCAATTCTCTAAAGAGATATCTAGAAAACAACTTTAAACAATTGCCGCGGACAGATACTGGAAGTAAATAAATCGAGATCTGGTAATATTACCATCACTTACCATGATAAACTCTCCGATGGCTAGCCACTTTCCCTTACTTCTGAGATTGGGACTGCCAATCACATTTTGTTGGGTTCAGACAGTCCATATTCAGGGTCGTGATGGGAAGGAGTCAGCCTTGGTGCTTCCACTTGGACACAGCGCACGCTGCTCATCCACGCCCCTTCCCCTTCTGCGTTCATGATGGACCATAAAACCCTTTCGTCCTGTCCGTCTGTACAGATTTTCTTCTTCTTCTTCTTCTTCTTCTTCTTCTTTTTTATATTTGTCGGCCAGTGGGTCCAAAGCTTGATTCGGACTATCACTGCACGGCGGGTGCAAGATGGAACCTAATGTTTTTACAGTTTAAATTCTCAAATTGAGCGCCGGCATGCCTTTTATCAACGGAGAAGGAGAATTCCATTCCTTGGCCTTGCGTGTTTGGCGTGCCCCGATGCAGCCGACGACGTCGCACATTCCCAATGACAGGACTCGCCAACGATGAAGCCGTCTCCAGCTTCGATGATAAAACCAGGAACACCAAGACCAATGACGCATTTATTGAGCAGTTGTCAGCGATAAGATCTTTATTTTCTCACAGTAAATAGTGTTCGCTTTGGATATTTTATTATTAAAGTCTACCAGAAAACTCTAAGGCCTTTTACCTTGAAATTCTGAACCTTGTTTCGTTTACTTTCACCTCACAGTCTTTTCCTCCGAGACATGCTATCAATGTTTGCCATTACTTGGCAGCCTGACTCTTATCATTTAAGCCGAATCATCAATGACCACTTTTTATCAAGGGTAAATGCAAGAATTGCTATATCATGCCAGTTCTGAGTTTAGTCTACCATGTCTATCACTACGTATACCCCAACTTGGTTGATGCTTATTGGGCGAACCCCTCAACTGCATAGTGCATCTATTTGTTATCGAGGGACTAAGACAGACTGTCGTAATCTTTTACTAATTTCGTTGCTAGGGCCGTATAGAATTTCCACTTTCGTCCCAATGAATGATGAGTATCAAGGAGTAAATGCTCTTCAGCACAACTTCCCAACTTTAGAGTAGAAGTATAAAGTCTTGACCTCCTCTGTAGTCTTATCATTCATTATATACCTGGGTTCTATTCGTCTTCGAGTTCGTAGTTTCAGGACTCCATTTCTCCCACTAAAGCCCAATTATATCACGCTCAACATGCCAACAACGCCACGAAAGCCGCTAATTATTGATACCACTTCCTTCTCAAAGGACACGCCATCCTCATTCATAGAGAAAGAACGAGGAAATGCAACCTGGCATACACTCCTGTCTGCACCGGGAACCATCAGCAATTCTTTTACCAGTGGTATCGCGACATGTCCCCCTAACGGCGCTTTGGCACTTCATCAACACACACAGGCTGAGATATACTACATTCTATCAGGCACAGGGGTAATAGAAGTTGACGGGGTACGACACTCTGTCTCGAAGGGCAACCTTCTCTGGATACCTGGAGATGCAGAACATGGGGTATTTTGCGGCGATGATGAACTGAGATGGCTCTACATCTTCCCTGAAAGCAGTTTTGATAACATCGTGTATCGATTCAGCAGTGAGATGGAGAACGCTGCAAAGAAAATCAAGTCCAAGCTGTGAAAGTACACCGAGCTGTAGATAGTAAGGTTTGGCTTAAGCTGCGGAGGATTGTGCGTCCGATAAGTCTATAGAATGACGATTTGTTAATAAAGGCTAGTTCTTTCTGCGTGCCTGCTCATATATGACTGTACCGGGTGATGGCTTAGAAACATTTTCTATGTAACGTGGAGAATTAGCATCTTCAGCATGTTGACGCTGTGTAGGTGTAAAAGTGGCCAGTCCATTCCAGTGTCGATACCGCTCGCGTTTGGATCGGGAAAAGGGGTTTGCTTCATGTTTCTGATCGGTCTAAGACCCTAAGAGTAGATGTGGAGCCTCTTTCTGGCTAGATAGGCTGGATAAGAATGATGTTGTTGTGATAGGGGCGGTGATGATTGCCAAGTTAATATCGAACAAAATAAAATAGCCTCCTAAGTCTTAGGGTATGAAAATAAGTAGTCGAAGAACTATAGTCTAAGGAGCATAAAGTGACCTGCTAATTTCTCTCTTATGCTTCCAGCGATCAGTCAATCAGTTTCTCTGATACCCTGAGGTCAGTGAGCATTGAAAGTAAACGTGAGCCTAACTAAGAAAATAGAAGGGAAAGACAGCAGGCATCCAAAAACTTGCCTAAGGGGAGGAAAGAAGAATCTTTCGGTCGTAACGCCTCTTCCGAGGAGGTATAGTGGGAGGAAGGGCGAGGGAGCAGCGGCGTCGGCGATGGCAGCATCGGTAGCATTGGCAATGACGATATGGGCCACCCACGTCTCGTCTATCACAGGCTCCCCGTCACCGGGGAAGCCTTCGGACACCTCCCCTTCTGGATGTCCTGGCCTCGAGGTGGCCAGGAACTTCTTCGGGAGGGGTTTCAGGTGGCCCAAAAAGGTCAGACAGGCAGGCATAGCGGCGCGGTGGTGATGGTAGGTGGAGGAAGAGAGGCTGCGGCGCCTCTTCCGGGGAGGTTTTCGGATATCTGAAGATCCAGGATCCCATGCACTTAGCGCATCTCTTCTCTCCGTCTTTGATGCTGTAAGAGCTCTTGTAGTTGTTTCTCTTGTTCTTCACTTGCGCGTAGTGGCTGCTTCAGGATAAATTGCACGCTTTCGGGGTTGCTAAAGCTGCTGCAATATCGTGATAATAGGGGGGAGGGCGAACTTTGACGGTCAAGGGCGCAAGAGAGAGGTGGTTTAGGCTTGGAGGAGACGATTTTTGAGAGGAATGTATTGTTAGCAGCAGTAATAGTGGTGCTGACAGAGGTGGTTGACTGATGAACAGTGAGCGGCTGCCGCTTCTCCTCCACCTCCACATACCATATTTCCCTAGAAAAGGCACTCTTCCTCCCACGCCTCACCGACTCCTCTTTGCTGAGAAAGGGCTACCTGAGCTGTTCGATCTCACCATTCAACATCCCCACTGTGTCCGAGAATCTCTTTGTGAGGGCTTAGGTCAAGTGGCCTAAGAAGGGTAGGCGGGCAGGCGCCGTCGTCAGGAGTAGCGACAACAGCAGCAATGGTGACGGAGTGATGATGATGGTGGTGATGACGGTAAGGTTCAAGACAAACGACTCGAATGGTAAGGGCATGCCTAGTAGGTAGTAGGGTGATTGTTAGCGGCTGCGAGCTATTAGAATGGAAGAAACAGACCTGGGAACTGAGAGCGCGGGGGCAGTTTGGAATTGTTTTTCTGGAAAGACAGAATGCTTGATATGGTGGCCAGAAATTAAACTAGGAAATAGCCAGAGCTGCAACCAAGATAGATTCTATTGAAATAACGAGGTGTCTCACGAGCATTGTAAATATTAACAGTTCTATACAATATTTCATTAGTCAATACTAATTTATCTATTGACTACCTGTAGGTGACTTTGCTGAGGCAATGCATCGAGATATCCAGTGCTTCTCATCATTTCCGAGCTGGACGCATCATAACGAAAGTTTCATACAACTCATCGACTCCAAATTTACTCATGCTCTGGCTCTTCTCGTCCAGAATCTCAAACCCATGTTTCGAATAGAGACCCTGGCCACGGCGACCAGTGGCCACCACTAGGACATCAATACCCAACTGGTCTGCAACCGCAAGACCAGATCTAACAAGCATACTTGCAAGTCCTTTTTTCTGGTGCTCCGGACGAACAGCGACGTAATGTAGTTCTGCTTGACCGTAAGTCTTTGTAACCACTATATTCTTCTGTACTCACCCATGCAATCGGCGTGTTTGTATTTCTCCCTCCATCCATCTATGTGGTCGTCCAACTCGTCATTATCCGTACATGGATCCCACTCTGTCTCTGCATGACGCTTTGTGAATATCTCTTTCTGCTCGGCGCTCACGTCTGGTGTTTGGGCGATGAGCCAAGAATCCTTGTGCGACTCTGGCATGATCCATCGTGCATACCCCACGATGTCTCCTGTCTCACTGTGAATTGCTTTCTGGTGCCTTCGTACGTCTCTGTCGGTAAGAAGATTCTTTGGGCTTCGGTCTGTAATGCCTCGAACCATGTATTCCTTAGCTCGACCTGTCCACGATAACCTCCACCAAGACTCATCCCAGAATGCAGCAACCTTGCTTTGCGCGATGTATTTTCCGTCTTCAACGTAACATGGTGACTGTACTTGATACATTGGCGTCGTTGAAGTTTATGAGGTACTGGTAGTTACGAGTGAAGTGCGGGGGGTTATCTGCCACGACAGCGATTTCTAAGGATCTCATCCGCTTTTGAACTTATTAAAATCGCAAGGATTTGAGATGCCGTTTGAGCCGAAGGGAGGCTGAGTAGAAGGATTGCATGTTACTGGGTTAGGTAGCCTGTATCCGGGGGGCCAGGAGCTCGAGTCCAATCATGTCTGCCGACGTATCTAGGCTACAGCGTGGCTCCATGCACAACCACAGACACAGGACTATCGCCGCTGCGCTTACACGACTGTAAGCTAAGTGATATATGTATAAAATAAATCCATGGAAATAAAATGAATCGAGAATATTATTCTGAAATAGATGTTAAGTTTGAATAATGTATTATTGAAAAATGATTAAGTGATATGATAAAACTTCAAAAATCAAAACGGCAAGTACTTATCTCTAAAAATGGCCTCCCTCTTTCCAAGAATACAATACCCGGTTGACGCAATTGGTTAGCGTGTCAGACTTTTACTTAATATGTGATATCTGAAAGTTACGAGTTCGAGTCTCGTATCGGGTGTGTTTTTTAATTTTTTTGGTATTTTTCTATCATTCTACAGATTAAGGGGAATCGATTGAGACTTTTTTAGTTAATTTTGGAACTTTTTTGGTGGAGTTACATCCCTTTTGAGCTAGAGTGGTTTTTGGTACAGTGGTAGAAATTAATGCCAGCGCTCCACCTTTAGCCGTGCGGCCCACGTGATGCACACGTGACCTTCCGAGAAGCGCAAACCTCCTTGTATCAGATGGATAACCACCTTTGTATAGGTATATAGTCTACGATAGATCGTGACTGTTATCTCTGCTTGTTGCTTTCCCTGAGGCGACGGTCGTGGAAACTGTGATTTGCTGCTCGTAGCGAGCGCCATGTACTGGTCAGGCCAATCGAACCACCGTCTTGTGTTTACTTCACAGAACTAGCTTCACTAATCATGGACGTGTGCAATCAGTACCAGAATGGTCTCATATTTCCATCAAACAAATTCGCAAACAGTCGCCGAGATGTCATGGCTCTCGGGGCATAAAAACTTATCACCCAGAGACATAAGGGACGAAACCAGTAGGTCAATTTATGCGATTTACACCAGACATTTAGGTAGTTTATTGCTCTACCCTAAAGTTTAGATGAAAGAGAGTGAGGCAGATCCGGAACGTCAAGTGGATCTTGGCTGCCGCTCCGATGCCGTTATCCACTCGTGCCCTCCGAAAACACCGAGACGCACAAAGTTCAATTTTCAGTGGGCGACATGAACAAACACCAAATCTGAGAGATAGTGTAGAAAAACAAAAGAAAATTAAAGACAAAACAATGGATCAGGTCAACCCCGGTTCATGATAAGCTCATGACTTCTATAGTACAAAAGACATTTCATACTCGGGGGTGAGTGACTGTTTACAAGCATCTCAGCTTTAGCGGATGTTGGCCGAGTACATAACAAAACCATGACAATCGCTAAAAAAAAGATAGCTTCATAGCAGCTACTGGTTTCGATCCAGTGACCTCCGGGTTATGAGCCCGGCTGTGACGAGTTAGTACTCTGGTATTGAGTTGCAGGTGGAGTAGACATACCGCGCTTCCACTGCGCCAAGCTGCTTTTCTTGAGCTGTTGCAACATTATGTTTTAGTTTGGTATATAAACCTAATGCGCATGGATCAGACGACTACCATCCGCATTGGACCATCCGTCGCTGTGTCACATCCAGGCTTCACTCATCAGAACATGTGGCAGTGTCTTTAGTAATGAGTCACACGAGGCACAGAATATGCATGGCGATAACGAACATATTATCTTGGCCACATAATTGCCTACACTTGTTGTGTTACATGACTATGACTTGGCAAAGGTGGGTATTGTCGCATTGTCAATCATTGATTGAGATATCGTGCCAGAATGAAGTGACTGTTTGAGCACAACACACCATAACCGCCGAACACTTATATACAATGGCATACAGGAGTGACCTAATCACGTTTTCGTTACCGTTAATCCTGGATCTGGACTTGAGAAGAAGATACTAGTATGATCACGAAGGCGGTCTTGATCTCTGTAGAGCACAGATCAGAGTGCTCATGAATGTGGTACCCAGTCTTGTGCCCAAGGCTTTGTCATTTAATTGTCATTTCGTGGTCATGTTTCCTAGAGGGTATGAGAGGATGTGACTATCATTATTGGGTTTTCTTTTTACTTATTAGACGGTTCTCTACGTGCTTGCTCGTGTCACTCTTTTCTAGCTTTGTCGATGTTGCAGCCAGACTTCTTGCAGGAGATGAAAGGAACACCTATTACAATGAACTTTTGCATTCACTATTGAACAGTTCGTTCTTTACCTTTACATGTATCCTTGAAATTATTTGCTAGTTGATTTGGTCTACTTATGTTATTTATATGAGCTACGCCGGAGCAAAGCGGCAATGCAGAAAGGAAGCTGAGTGGTATGTAGCAGGAGAAACTGCCTCCTATTCAATCAGATAAGACTCATAAGTACTGCAACTGAGATGGAGTTTCCGCATGCCAAGGTACTGTACTAAAGAGCAACAACGGTGCTTCTGTTCTGTTGATGATTCAACGTTAGTTTATTGGGCAACGATGAACACTGGCAAGAACTGGCGAGAGTCAGCAAGAACTGACAAGAACTGAGAAGTGCACACTCTATTATTTGCTCTGAATCCAAATTAAACCGTTTCCTTCTAGCATTCTCTGCATAAAAAAAAACTTTACTTCTTCACCATCACCATTACCCTAACCACCACTACCATCATCACCACTATCACAAGAATGTCCGACTGTCCAGTCTGCGCCCGCGCGGCCCGCATGGCTAATAGGCACCGCAAAGCTCGCCACATTGCTCGCGTTGTTGCACCATTCCTGAAGCGGTTGGAACCAGGCCTCCCAGGAGGCACGATGTCGGTGGCCGAGATCGAAGAAGCCTGTAGAGCCTTCCCCGGCGATGGCGAGTGGAAGCTCGCAAGCGACCTAACCGCCTGGGACACCACCGACGCCAACGCCGACGCCGGCACCGCTCCTCCTCCTCCTCCTCCTCCCACCACGCCAACTCGCAAGAGGCGCCGCAGTCTTCGGGGCAGCAAGATCAATGTCTTTCAAGACTTTGGAGAACAAGAACAGTATGTGGTGTGCAGTATTTGCGGAATATTTTACTGATCTGCATAGCGATACCATCTATGGACGTGACAACGGCTAACGACACGGACGGTGGAGGAAGGTGCCCGTGATGGCAACATTGGAGGACAGTATTGCTTGGTTTCCATAGGTTAGATCAGAAGCATATCACCAAACAAGTCACGATTTGATCAATCACATCAAATTGTTCATCGCAAGGCGCGTTATTGAAACGTTCTATTAGTTCATGTTATTCGCTGGCATACAGACTTCTTATCTATCATTTGTATGCTGCCAGAGATATATCTGCTCACATTGGGGTATCTGCCATCCCGGTATAATGACCCTCGCATAACCGCCCGAAAGATGCAATATTCAAGAGATAGAAAAGAAAAGGCAAGGTAAAAATAAGGCTGCAAACAATTCTGTGGCTTTTGCAGCGTCCATGACTTTGATTTCCTGTCTCATCCCATTCCATCCTTCTTCAACACCGTGGTATCACAAAACACAAAAACATAAAATGGCAGAGATGTACAAAAGGAAACATATGTTGGTCCCGAATGCTGAAATGTACAAAAAACAAACAAAGAGAAAAAAGCGAAAGTTCGTCATATGGTAGAGGATGGGGTATCCTGTCGTAAAGTTCCTCGTCCTCCACTTTGGACCGTGTGCGGAATGATTATTAGTACAGATATGTGGTAATATGCAAAGAAAATGAAATCATGATGCTCAAAAAATGCTTTTCCGTTCCGAGATTAAAACGCCTTATAGTCTCATGTCGCTGTCATCCAAGTAGAAGCTTGTGGGTGAACCGAACTGCTGTTGCTGTGCTTGAGGCATGAAGCCAGGGTTCGATGTGTAGCCTTGTTGAGGGTGACCCATTCGCATTGGCAGTTCGTAGCCCGCTGGTACAGACGTGGGCATCATCTCAGCGTACATGGCTGGTACAGGCGGGACAGCCTCGTGCTCGGAAGCAGGGCTACCATAGACGCTAGTCTTCTTCTTGGGGCGCAGGTTCTCAAGGCTCAGTCGCTTGCCCCAGGACCCAGGTCGTTTTGTAGGAATAGGAGTAGCAGGGCGAGTAGCGACGGGTTGTTGCTGGTTGGCCATGTAGACATTACCCATGACAGTGTCTTGTTGAGGGAAATGCTGTTGCATGCCAGTCATATCCCATTGTTGTTGAGGAAGCTCTTGGCCTGGTAGAATGTAGGTCATGGAGGCATCTGCGAAAGTGTTCATCTGGTCGGGCGCAAATTTGGGTGCGTCAACAGGCCAAACATGCTCATTAGGGATGGGGAATGGTGTTCCTGGATGAGGACCGGCTGTAAGATCATCACGAACCATAGGCTCAGGAATGTTGTCTACTGGTGTTGATGGTCGAGTCTCCTGCTTGATGCGTCGAGCAGGGAAGGAAGGAGGCTGTGGCGTTGCGGGAGGCTGCTTGGTAACAGTAACCATTGGTGTGCCAATGTCGCTGCTGTTATCCATCTTGGGCTGCATACCATCGGCGTGACCTACTGCATCCATCAAGCATTGTGATCGGAAAGGTAGGGAGAACTGCAGGTCAATCTCGCTTGGTGGCGGTGTGGTAGGGTTGGTAAATGGTGATGTGCCAAGAATGAAAGCCAGGCGAACCAGAGTAGAGATATCTTCACCAAGGTGGCGAGCCTCGAGCATGCGCTTGAGATCACCAGAAGAACGAGGGCGCCATGTGAGCTGTTGTCTCTTCTCCTTGGGCCATATGCAAGTTTTCCAGATGGACTTGACCTTAGATTGTCGCATCAAGTTGTGCAGTTGAACCTTGTAGTCCCAGCTGTTCACATCAAACCCATCCTCGAAATGCTTGGCGATGTGCTCGAAGTACTTGTCGCGACTGCCAGTTGCCTGCTCGTTGGTGGACGCCTCAAAGACGCGGTCCTTGCAGTTAGCGAAACCACAGCCAAAGACGACCTGAGGACACAACTCAGTCTTTGCTGAACTGTTGGGAAGAGCATCCATGCGGTGTGTCTCCTTGGCGTGAGTGCTGTAAGCTCGCTCGGTAGCGAAGGACATATGACAACCCTTGGTCTTGCACAGCCAAGTTACGTCCGCACCGTGAAAGTTGTAGAGATGCTTCTTAAAGTCGCTCTTCCTTCCAAAACCCACGGGGTTGTTATCTAAGAAACACATAGGGCACTGGTATTTCTTAGAGGTTGGTGTGACGTGCCGGGGCGACGGGTGAGAGGTGACATCGCATGAGGGAACGGGTGACTGCATGAGATTTGGCGAATCGACCCAAGTACGATCGGCAACTTTGCCGACTTCACCATCGTGAATCGAGGGAACGTCGCCGGCATTGTCCTGCCATGTTGATTGAGTTCGGATTGATGCGGCATCGGATCGCGCGTGACCAACATCAGAGTTGCTCCATGATAGTGAAGGCGCGCTGGTGTTGCTTGTGTTGCTGAGTAGTGTGGATGCTGAAAATGTGGAGGCTCGTGCTATTTGGTGTTAGGGAGTCTCCATTTTGATGTGTAATTGAAATCACTCACATGAAGCACCGAGACCGGTGAGCGCGCAGACAATGCTGGAGACGCCGTAGCGACGAGCAAGACCCAGGAGGATTTGCTGGTCCTCTTCGGTCAATGGCCTTACAGGCTCATCTTGTGCTGGGAATGGAAACATGTTGTCCAAGCTGTGATTATAGGGTGATCAAGTCTCAATCGACAGTGCGATAACGCGCACTCAGCGCTTAATTAACTATCGCTGGCGACTCGAGTTGGTGTGACGGAAACCAATGTCAGCAATAATAGACAGTCGCCGGTGGTGTGACTATCATCAAGTTTGAGTCGTTGGTGATTGAAGTTGTTCGTGTAAGATTGGCGATGCGCTTGTCCGAGAAAGAGAGTCGTGTCGAGTCGAGTCGATCAAAGGCGAAACGAGGGGAAATCGACAGCCCGCGACGATTAGTATGTGATTGTTATGTTGGGTCGTTGAGTCGTGAACCAAGAGTCTTGGAATGTGATGTGAGAGTGAGCGGTATCTTTGTGGGGATGAGGGCGGATTAAAACAGAGGCGAGACACGATCAATTAGAGTAAAAAGACAAGACGAGACCAGAACAGAAGAGACGCGCAAGGGTCCTTGTATATGAGATTGGGGATTAATAGAGTAAGTACTTTTTACTCGGAGGGAGAGGGGCGAATGTAAAGAAGAGGGAGCGAGTAGCAGGCAGACAGAGGCAGAGCGCAGGCAGTGAGTAAGTGCGCAGGCAGTGCAGGGGAGTAGAGGGCAAAGGAGAGACAGAGATGGTCAGAAAAGAGGGAGAAAAGCGAGAGAGGAAGAGAAAGTCCTTCTAGAAGCCTTCTTCGAATCCCTGGACTTGTATGAGACATTATAACGGGCTTGCCGGAGTGATCGCTCTTGGTCGACCCACGTTGGTTTGACCCATGTCCTAGTTAGTCTCGAGGCTAGTGACTCCGTCTATCAGGGGGGTTCCTTGTTCACCACCAACGCCGTTTCAGGAACGTCATTCGCTCGAATTCTGCCTCTTCTGCCTTTTCTGTTTGAAAACCAATGTCCCATTGAGTAGGCGGGTCGACCATCTTTGACGTGACGTATCTGTACCTGACCATGATCTACTACTCCGGCATTTGGACATTTCAGGGGAGAATGGATCGTCAGGTACTGTTTGACTCCAGGACCACGAAACAATGGGTTACTAAAAAGCCACGGTGCTAAGCTAAAGCCTCGATAGCCTGGCTAACCGCTAACTTAGCACTTGGGCACTTGGGCACTTGGGCACTCTCCCAGCCTACCTACCAAGTCAGGGTACTTAGTGACGGGGCGATGGACAGACCAAGTCAAGTCAAGTCAGCGACACCATCAGAAAAGTCATCTCATCAACCATTGACTGGATTGTAGCCAAAAATAAGGTCCTGGTGTAGCAAATTGCACTTTTGGTTCCCCTGCCAGGCTCGTCAGCAGCAGACTCGGACTCCAGCAGCATAGCTCCTACATGCAACGCAAGGGAAATGACCGACAGAAATCTGAAATTCTTCTGCCGTCATTCTAGAAACTGATGCATGCAGGGGAAATTACACTGTTCCATCCTGTTGCCAATACAACCATGAATTAGGGTTTTGTGGGCAACCTGACATGGAATGATACCCATCGGCCATTTCAACCGTTCGTCAATGATGTTATCCTATTATGAGCCTGGTTTCAACTTCCTCTTGTGCGAAAGCACCTCATCAATATCCGTACGTAACGGAATCTACGCCTGATCACGCCTAGCTTCTAGCTTGTGCCTGTGTCGTCCTTGTCGTGTCAGAAGCGGACAAGATTAAACTACTTCATTAGTCAATCAATTAATCCCTGGCCAGCATCAAAAGGTTTCCTCTTCCGAGCATCGGCGCCGAAAAAGCCAAAGAGCCAAAAACATCTAAACTTGGGTGAAACCTTTGGTTCTACTCTCCACAGTGGAATGGATCCCCAGAGACCAAAACGTGGTCGGAGTGATCAACCCGACTCAACTAAACTTTGAAGAGAAAAACAGTCCATGCAAAATGTTGCCCAAGACACACCAAGATCCGTATCAGTGCTAGTCTACGCGGGCCAGCAGACGACCCTGTTTCAGCGGGAAATGACGATGGGCCAATCTCTGGCTTCTGCTCTCCAACAAGGCTTCTGAATGGACTGCCGAGACTTTACGGTGCGGATCCTGGAGGGTCGCCATCTGATGACATTGGCTGAAGACATGGGGGGATCATGACACGAGCCTGGTCAGGTCTAAGCCACTTGGAGGAGGAACCCCTTGTAAGTGACTGATGAGGTCAAGTCCCAAAGGCCCAAAGTTGAAGACCATGTTCAAGAGGTCAAAACATCAATTATCGATGTGGGTGTGACAGTGGCGCCTGCTTATAATACTACTCAATAAGTAAAAAGCTTTGTCTCGTTTAGCTCATCAACGGTGAGTCTACTTGGCGAGAGATGACACTGATTGCCCTCGATGGATACCATTATAACGGCTTCTCATAGCACAGCCTCGTGTACAGAAATGAAGAGATTCAACAGTTACGCCATCTCAGAAAGAAGAAAAGTGTCTCCAGCAATAGGCCACAAATCCTGGGCTCTGGGTCCTGTTCTGCATTTGCAAATCAGATGACGGAAAAAAGAAAAGAAAAGGTGAAGTATCACTTTGTTGCAGACGCTGGACTGGCTGGGCTGGAGACATGTTTGCTTTGTTTCATCTGTCTTACTGACCGCTCCCCTGTGGCGTTTGCTTTTTCTTTCTCCAAATTTTCTCAGGTATGGCATCGCATTGCACAGCATGGAAGCGGTGGATCTCATTCTTCATGCCTGTATTCTATTTTCTGCCATAGATGACTGATGACCTCTCACTAGATCCGTTGTCTGTAAGATGAAACCGACGATACCGAGACTTGACAATAGATGCTGAGATTACTTTACGTGCAGTGAAATGCAAGCGACGTGTTTCGGGTACAACGATCAGCACTGTAGATCCTAGGCATTGCCACAGGATTGGCCCATGCTTCTGTAGTGCTGATTGCCCTTTGTCTTTGCTTGTTCGTGTTGTTTTTGCACGGTTGTGTTGCCTCGTGATAGCGAATGCATCCTTGTCAAGGCTGGGGTAGTGAAAAGATGGGATGGTATTCGTAATGGGACGCATTGATGCCAACGTTGGTTTACTACGCGTTTCTTTCTCCTCCTTCTGTTTCTGTCGTCTGTGAGGCATCCGACTCACTACCCTAGATCCCGGTCATCATCCTCTTGTCTTGTTCTGGGTTGGTATTTCTTTGACGGATCTATGATGCGCTTCATCACCAAGGCATGAATAACTACACTGTATCCGTACTTTATACTATTTATTCCATCACGAGCCTGGAGTCGAGGCCTTGGTCACTTGTTATTGTACTACGATAAAACATCGAGGTTCCAGCAGCCTCGCATACAACGTCCAATCGTCGGTTACACTCATGATCAACATCAGACACAAAGTCCCAGTGGAGTGAAACCTCCCGTCCTCCCTCTTTTGTAACGCCTCTCCCACGTGGTTCCGACGTTGCCGTACTGTAGATCTTTTACTGTTCCTTTCAAAGTTCCTGTCACAACCTTAAAGCTTATTAACAAAGTTTGCTTGTTGGTTCTCGTCGACTCTACTCCGTACAGCTGGGTCAATTGATTGCCAGGTTGCTTGTAGGCACGCACGAAGTCAAAGCCTAGACCCAGACAAAAGATCCATTCTTATCGCAGTATCGCAAGGTGTTGCCCTTCTTGGTACGCATTCCACGTGGAGGTTATGCAGGTCCCCTATCTCCAACATGCCCGTCATCATTCAGGAGTTTCACCTCCATCTTCAAAGTATGTATCTCCAAGTTGGGCATTTTACATACATCCCCTGTCAGGGATGTACTCTTGGACGGCTTGACGTTCGCTCTCATTCTACAACGCCATGTTCTCGAACGTCAAGCCACAATGTCCATCAAACACGGCCGTTCAAGCCGTTACTAAAAAAGAAATCAAGAGGTGCTTTTGTACCACGCATTCATGCATTGTTGCCGTCTCTGCATGTTACCGTCATCTTTTTCAATCTGGGTTCATCGGAACAGTCTTCCGCAAGCCCCCAAAAACCCCTTATCTCAACCGTGCTTCCACCGCTGTATCGCGGGGAGTGATCCTTGCGCCTCCGAAGGGCTCAGGCCTCTTTTTGCTCAGCGCCGATATTCTTCGCGTCCGAGTCTACGTTAGTTTTTTGGCTGGTGCTCCAAGAAGCCGTTTGGACTATGCTTCTTCATCCCTAACAAAATAGGGCACTGATCACTTGCTGCCATTCTTAGCCCTACCAGATCGTACGATAGTCGAGTTCATTGAAATATATTTCAATCGTAAACCAGGCGTGATTTCGAGATTGCTAACCTTTACGGTGATGATTGGATTAGGTACGCCTTGGGTGCAAATCACTTTGTCACGCACAAACTTAAGTTCCGAGCTTAAGGCTGCTCTTGTGAACCATGACCCCTATCCGGCCTCATTTACACAAGCGATGATGTGCACTACATAATCTCAATCCGACTTAGCAGAGTTACCCTGCACCGTTGTGCCGACATGGAACGGCATCATTGAGTAGCATCTGTAATTTTTAACGGCTAGTCATCATTCTCTGACGAGACCTTCCACAAACTCTATCGTAAACAGTTAACATTTACGGAATATAATAGCGCTCGGCAGTTGAAGTCACCACGATAGCGTCAAGGGCCAACGGAACTATGTGATGAACGTTGTTACCCAACTATACACACTGACAAGTAAACCTCCCGGTTAAACCTGAGTATGTCACCGTTAGTAAACTCTATATCGTCAACTTGTGTCTACCGTACGATTTAGCATCGTCCTTGTTTCAGGACTATTTTTGTTTGGAGGCGTAATATCTTAATCTCGAATCTGTCCCGATCCTAAAGAAGCTTGGAGCGGTTATCCGCGTGCCCGAGGCTTGCCGGTCGATCAGGGAAGTAGAGGAGCTTTGGCATCAAGTTAGTAGTGACTGGGTCCAAATTGACCAACATTGTAATTGCACAGGCATTGCATTAACATCAACTACTAAACGGTGATGGTCACCAATTTATGAACATGAATCTAGGCCGGACTTGGACTGAGACGTAGATGGACAACAGTTGAGGATAATGTTCCTTGTTTAATCAAGCTAGGGGTATCAAATCGAATGCACTCAAGTGCCATGTTAACAGACCAAACGCCTACTGCCTAAACCCACTCGTAACTAATCCCAGGCTTTTGATAACTGCATGTTCCTGAAAGCTCTACAGTACTCCCCATCCATGAAATAATCCAACGTAAAGAAATAGTCGCTGGTAGCAGTGTACCATGTCCTCTGTCCAAGGACAGGTATATATATATAGATCAAAGAAAAATATTAAGGAGTGTTTGCAATTAGTACTCCGTAGGCCATGATGACCTAGGGATACGCTGTGTCAAAGCCAAACGTTAAATGTTGGTTCATGGGATCTGTTGGGGCAAGACATGAACCATCAGAGGCAGAGGTAGTGATGCCTTGGGCTTCATAAGCACCTGAAAAGCTAGGTTGCTGCAGAAACGAATGATCCATCATGTCAGTATCCATATCAATGTCTTGTTCTGGTACACTGTTGGTCATGGATCGAAGACTTCGCAAGTCCTCAGCGATGATGCCTCCATTGGCTTGCTGCATCATAGCGAATTGTTGCTGCTGGTGCTGGTGTCTTGGATCAAACATGGGTATCATGTTGGGATACTGGAAATGGTGTGGCATCGGACCAGGGGCCGACGAAGTTGCAGGCATAGCTTGCCGCGGTGGCCGGGCAGAACGGCCAGAACGAACAGGACCGGCTCTGGCTGGATATGCTCGGCGCTGCGTGGCCATGTATGCTGCCAAATTGGGGTTGTGGGTTGTGTTTCCTCGGGAAATGCGGAACTGATACTGATCTGCGCTGGGAGAGGGGCCAGAAGGCGGCAGAGGAGGTGCCCGAGACTTGTGTCCCATGATAACCTGGCGACATTGATCCTTGACAGGATTGATAAAGTCGTCACGGTACTTTGTGATTGATGATGGCTCTGTACCAAGAGCAATAGCATATTGAACAAGAAGTTGCAAATCACCTAAATGCCTTGTTTCCAGGCGCTTTCGAAGAATGCCACTGGATTGAGGATGCCACTGCAGTTGGCTTCGCTCCTCCGCACCCCAAGACGAACCTTGCCAGGCACGAACAAGGCCTGACTGTCGAAGTAAGTTTCGCAACCGTCCCGAATAGGACCACTCTCCGCTGTTGGAACCCTCGTCAAAGTGTTTCACAACATGAGCCACAAACTCTTTGAACACGGTGTCGGCCTCGTCGTCGCTGGGAGCCTCAAAAACTTGGGAGCAGTTCTCAAACCCGCAAGCAAAAACAGTTTGGGGGCAAAGGTTAATCTTGGCTTCGTCAAGAGACATGCGGGAGCCACCGTGGGCTTGCTTGAGATGAGTTTTGTATGCCGTCTGCCAGTCAAAAACCATGTCGCAACCCTTTTGCCGACAAAACCACTGAGCATTGGTGTTGTGGAAATCCTCAATATGTCTCTTCAAATCATTTTTGCGTGTACATGTCTTTTGGATATCCTCTTCCCGACAGAAACCGCATGTAAATGAGCCTTTTTGTTTGGGCGCTGGTGTTGTTGATTCATTTGAAGCAGGTGAAGTTTCCTCTTGGGGTGTGATGGATGGGCGGGTAGCTTTGCGACCGAGCAGCTTGGCGGTACGGGCCGATACATTAGAGATGATACTGCCTCGAAGGGATGAATTGTCGGACGAATAAGTTCGTATGCTTGCGGCATCAAAAATGCTAGGAGTTTCCTCAGATTTGACCGAAGAATAAGTACTTGATGAAATAACGGATGCTGTATCGTTGACTAAAGGTTGCAGATGTTAGCGATGACCTACCAGCCAAATGAATAATTACTCACTGTTTGCAGCAGGCGAAGTAGCCTCCTCGTCCATCAATTGAGCAATACCATCGCGACCATAGCGTTGCATCAAATGACGCAGTAGCTGTCGATCAAGTGAATCATCTGGATGCGACATGTGGGAATGTTGCGATACACTGTCAGCGTCGGACCACGAGTCCGGAGACATGGTTGTGGTGATGATGGAAGAATTAAGTTATTGGGGCTGGACAGAAGAGCTGGACCCGATTGTATGGGTAGTG